TATAAATATTTTATTCTATTCTAATTTCTTAGAATTATGGGTAAAAAGTAAAGATTTTATAAAAAAAGTTTGAGAGTTCAGCTGGATTCATTCTTATTAATTCATAAACTACATTGAATTAGTCTTATAGACTGGTTTATGTATACAATCTATTCATCCACGTACAACTTCAATATGAAAAAAAAAATGGAAATGAAAACGAACAAAGTAGGTCATTTCTTTTCGGACCTTTCTCAAAATTAAGTAGAATTTTTTTAGGAATGCATAACTGTAAATTTCAAGTTTTGACGAAGTGCATAGCTCGGTATGTGCCGAAGAGTCGGTCCAGTCGACCTATACAAATCTATATCCCAAATATCTTTAACAGCAACCTCGACAATGCTTTTCACTTCCTGAAAATTCTGCCCGCATGCTGTTATTCTGGCCGAGGTAATGCTTGTGTTGGGAGAATAGCCGTGTCTATGATGCTGCGGAACGGTTATTCACAGGACTATCGTTGTATCCTTTTCAGTCGGCGCAGCGATAACGAAAAATTGCTAGCTTTCAAGAACAGAATGACCAGCTGTGCGGATGTTGCCAGGAAGTACGATTACCTCATGGACTTGATGAAGGAGAATATCAACTTGTATTATCGCTACCTCTGCGACAATACAGCTGAGGTGTTGACCGTAGTGAATGCGGTGGACAGCGCGCTCGATAATATCAGTAATCTGGGATTGAGTGTTACCAAGAGGTAAGCCTGTTTTCTATAATTGGACGTTTACATCATAATCATTTCTTATGCCTAAAGTCCGAATATGCAACGACTTGTGCACGTAACTCGAAGTTTGGATTTCGATCGTACTGTGAACCATATAAGACAATATATAGATGCCGAGAACAAGAAGAAAGCTCAAACACGCTTTGGCTTTGCCTTGAAGAAGAAACAAAAGGAGCAGAAAACGGGGAAACAGAAGGACAGGCAGAAGGAGAGGCTCAAGGAGAAGGATAAGCATGAGAAGCCTGTGCGTGTAAAACTCCCACGTCGTTTGAAGAAAAACGTAATGAAAACACCGAAGCGAAAATATGTAATTTATCTAAAAAGATATAGGTGAAGCCAATTGGTGAAAAGTATGCCAACTGAATAATTCATAACAACTGCAATTACAAATTGAAAGTAAGTTTCGCAATGGGCCTTTCTCGGCGATTTTCATGCCATCTAATCCGTGCCTTCTATGTAGACAACCAATTCGATGTAATAGCTAAAAATATGATAAGTATACATATATGTAGTATGTATTATTAACTAGCAATCATCGGATATTATCGAATTATTGCATCTGGATTACCTATTGGACTACTGGAGTGGGATTTACTTTGTTGGTCACTGAAATTTTTAATTTGTAATTTTATTTTTTATTTATTCAAGTCAATTGATCATATCGATTCTTAGCGGCACTGCTCGACTGGTTGATACCTCCGAGCTGTTTTATATACATACATATACTGTTCGAACTATTCCTAAAAAAAAACTCTATATATGTTTTTATTTCCTATTAATGTTAGGAAACTGGAACCAAAATTCCATTTCTTTGGCTATTTGCCCAACAGCGAATAGTGAATTTTTAATTTTAAATTAAAATATTTGTTTAAACAGAGTATGCCAGTCCTTAATTGATCGGAGACTTGACATATAATGTAAATTATAATTTATCTTACACGTAGTCAAAATTGAGTATGTATTTTATAGATAATAGTGATTTGTAGTGATTTGTCCCTTTGGTAATTGATATGCATGCATTAAAATTTCGAGTATTTTCTAAATTATCAGCCCGGTATGTACGAGCTAATGCGTAGTACCCAAAACTGATCGAAAGCCATCGCCCATAGCCTAGTCGAAACACAGGAGCTTTTGCCTACGACCCAACACTGTCCCAGTAAACCGCAGTTGTCCGAGGCATCACAATCGGATTCACAATTGGAAAGCGCTCAAGTCATTGAAGTGAGTTGAATATATATAGAATTTTGAATATATTATAGTATAATCTTTGCAGTATAAAAACAATCTGTGGCATGGCTGCTCCGATAGATTAAATACTTTGACAATGGAAATTAATGCAAAAATTAATTCCATGTTTCTTAATAAGTAAGTGAGATTGCAGAGATTACAGCCAAAATATCTGTAGGTAAACCCTTTCAAGTCCTAAGCTAGAATATTATTTCTTGAGGAAGCGGCAATTGGATAAAGCTTACTGGGCAAATGTGCCGCAACTGAATGCTTTTAAATGTCACCCACAGAGTTTAAATGAATTAGTCCTTTTAAGCAATCAATTACTCCCAATGATAAGCGGTGTAAATTTTATGGGATATGATGACAATGAGTCGTTAATGTTTGACGAATCATCTCTTGGCCAGCCAGAAGGCGTACGGCTTATCAACTATACTAAATTTAAAAACAAATATGTAAGTAACATAATGCCAATTAAATGCAATCGGTTAAAGTTTAAGATACTAACGGCTAGACGCATATAAGTGTGGTGAAAAGCTTCCGACGTGCCATGCAGAAGCTGGCTGGCGTAACAGAGCTTTTGTCTGGCAATGCGCGCACAGCTGTTGCACAGCTGTCAATTCGACACTCACTGTGTGTGTGTGTGGGGTAAACAAAAAAAGTCCAATAGAGTAATCGCCCATTTTCACCCACAATAGGGACAAATTGATAGCAGAAACTTGGCCGCATTACCGTTAAAATTGGTTGCATTAATGAAACATATTACCAAAAATCGCGCATAGTGCCATTACGCATAAAACGTGACGGCGCGACGCGATAAAAACGCCAGCCAACCAGTTCATTGCATCAGTGTGCCGTGTAGTTGCGCTTAACGCAAAGCGTTTGCTGCGTTTAAAGGTCACCTTGAAACGTCAAAACCGAAACTTCTGCGCTCGACCGCCGCTCTCGCGCCCAGTTTGTGAAAATCGTCTCGCAGGCACATAGCCACGGCATCTGTGGCCAGCATAAGATTTGCGCAGTTCATTTGGACAACTCGGCTTCCTCGAAGCTCCTCCAGTTGCGCTGTGAATCATTCACAAAATATTTGCCTTTGGGTGCATCCAACTTGAACTTCGATACGTGCGTCCGTCTCTCACTCTCACCTCACCTAACTCTCTCCCTCTGCGTGCGTGCGTGTGTGTGCGTTGCCGTTGTTTTTTGAATCGATTAACTTGTATTTGAATAATTTTTAAATCGAAAGAGGTGCTTGGCCAAAAAATGAATAGTGATACTAATCAACGTTTCCTGGCACGCGGCTCCCAGCGCGACAAGGGCCTGGCCGTCTTCACCAGCGGTGGCGACTCCCAGGGCATGAATGCTGCTGTGAGGGCATGTGTGCGTATGGCCATCTACTTGGGATGCAAGGTGAGTTTTGACCTCTGCCAAGTGCTTTTGCATTGGTATATATAATTTGGAAATACACATTGACACATATATACACACACACACATGCATACATATTATTCACAAAAATGTTCTTATCGGTTACCGGAACAAGTTCAGCCATTGAACTTTATGGTCTAGAGCAGACTCTGTTATGCATATATTTATATATAGCAAATTTATATATATCAGCTGAACTTGCAATTAAATTATAATGAAAGAAAAGAAATAAAACAAATTAGCTTGTTCTGCTGGCGGTGTGAATTGCCGTTAGATAACCCAGGGGGTAGCAAAAAAAGAAAAAGAAAAAATATTCAAATAAAAGCGCCTCACACTACGTTCATAGAGAACACCAATACATTGACAATACCACTACACACAGGCGAATCTTGTGTCCGTGTGCGTTTGACATTGAGTTTATTTTCGGGCAACTTACAGACGATCACGCAGATATATCTGAGAAAATGCGGTTATTGTTTGAAAAGTGAATTACTATTTGCCTATTATTGGTTTTATTGATCGACTCGAGCAAGTGAATTCGGTGTTTGAGCGTCCAATATGCCAAATTTTTATCACACTCTGTGAGAGGGCAAAGAGTTGAAATTTTAAATAATTGCAATTGAAATAAATTATTCAAAATTTTACGATGATGATGATGATTTTTGCAATGAATAAATTGTCGCAAGGCTGATGTTTCTATTTTACTTTTTTTTTTCAAAGTCACTTTCATTTTCTTTTATTCACTTTTGATTTATATGCTAAATTATTCTGGGTAACATTAAATTATGCTTATATGTATGTATATATGTTTATTATATAAAAACAAAGTCAATCAGCGATATAAATTTCTTATTTTAGACAAGGAGTTAAAAGCGAAAACGAGTTCAAAATTCTGAGTCCATGGGTTTTTCAATTCATTTTTTGTTTTTTCTTTTTTACTTTGTATTAAATCTTAACTTCTGGTTTTATTTGACAACATATAGATTAATAATCTCGTTTAGCTCATTCAATTATTTATAAAGAGCTTTATCGCCTATTAAGCCCGATAAGTACTGAGTTATATGCAATAATATATATATAGAAAAATACTCATATTAATATAATATACATTTTATATCATTGATATATGATGATATTTTTATAGTTCGAGTTTATGACAATAAAACGGAAGCCTTACAAAGCATTTATTGAACTTTAGTGAATTAAATTCTAATTAAACAAATTTGTAATATAT